GTGATCAAAATTGACGCTTGGTATTCGTCAATTTTGATCATGTGACCTGTTTTGACGCTGAAAATGAGCGTCGAGCGTCAGCGTGAAAAGGCACCTTTACGTATGGTTTTACGGTCTCTATTGTGATTGGTCGATTCGCTTACTGCTTAAGTCTTAGTCCGGATCTACAATAGGGTTTTAAGCCTTAAGCCATAAGAAATGGGCGAATCACAGTCGCTTATTCTTCTCGAATTCAATTGTAATTGGTCAATTTCTTATGGCTTAAGGCTTAAAACACCTATTGTAGATCCGGGGTTACGCCTTAAGTTTTTTTATGTGCCATGGCCTTTAAGCGGGGAACTCAGACTCTTGCATAACGCATAACACATGAGGCATAAGAAATTGAACCAACTACAGTTCTCTATTACATGGAAGGGAAAGAAACGGAGAACTTCGATTGGTACATATTCTTATGATTAGTCGGTTCCAGGTGGCGCGGTGTGTAGAAGAAGCCAGAAGGTTTATTCGCGTCGCATGCTCCAACTAGAGTCCTAGATTTATCTACGCGGAGGCACTCGGGTGATGTTTCCGAACGCAGCCCAAGAGGAAAGAAGAGGAAAAAAGATGAACTGGTGCAAAAGTTCAGTTAAAAAGATCAGGCCTAATTACCATAAAAAATTGGCATCACGTGACATTTTTGCTGCCGCAGCGTGCTGCGCATGAAAAGGCACCTTAAAGGTAAATTTTCACGAGCGCTCAACCCAGCTGTTTCAGCGATTAAAAGAATCACGTGGTCAAAATTGACGAATATCAAGCGTCCAATTTGATCACGTGATCCTTTTGTCGCTGAAACAGCCGATTAGAGCAGCTTGTGAAAATTTACCTTAAGGGTGCCGTCACATGCGGCGTAACCTGCGTAAGCGTAACCTGTGTATTCTAGTAATTTACTAGAATACGTTATTTTTTATTTACTAGAATACGCCATTCTGAAAGCCCGCATTCACATTGAGCGTATTTCGCGGAAGATTAGAGAAGTGCGGAACTAATGCAACCAATTGCTGATTAGAATTTCTGTTGTACACTCTAACAGAAATGCTAAATAAATTTACGATTGGTTTTCGTAAACTACGCATTTCGAAAAGTACGCCTCATGGGGAACCGGTACCTTTCCATCGTATATATATGAGCGGATGATCGAATAAATTATTAAAATCGGAACATTTTGTGAAACCACTCTTAGGCTTATTCGACGCGTTTTTGCATGAAACAAAAGAATTTGGCGAAAAAAAAACGTCATTCTGCCTTGTGATCTGAGATATTAAACGTTAAAGTTGATGACTATTGAGGTTAGGAAATTTGTCACAGAGGCAAAATGAAGTCTATAATTGTACTGTTCCACATGGGTTTCGACTTTTCACGCGACGCACGACTTTTATAATTGTACTGTTACAAAATCGAAACCCTTGTACATTTCTTCAGAGAGAATAAACTAAAATGAGCCAGAAATTAGATTCGACGCATAGTGGTTCTATCATGTTTCGGCTTAACAACAAAATAGCGTAAAAAGCATAAGTCCGGATCTACAATAGATGTTTTAAGCTTTAAGCCGCAAGAAATTGACCAACTACATTCGAATACGAGGAGAATAATTGATTGCGATTCGTTCATTCCTTATGGCTTAAGGCTTAAAAATCTATTGTAGATCTGGGGTAAAGTGACTAGACAGAAATTGATGTTCAAGTGAAATGATATGATTGGTCGGCGCAAGTTACGCACTCTTGCATGACGCATAATGCATAAAGGAATCAACCAATCAAAATTCTTCTTTTTCATGGAATGGGAGGAAAGGAAAGATTCTGATTAGTTGATTCGCTTAGCCCGGATCCTCATACGGGCAATAGCGCTTTGACACCGAACGCTGATTGGTGAAAAACGGATGATGGGGGTAAATTTTACCCCCACAATCGGGGCTTTTCACCAATTAGAGCTCTGTGTCAGAGCGCTGTTGCCTGTATGAGAATCCGGGCTTATGCACTATGCGTTATGCGTTATGCAAAAGTGTGTGCTGCGGCCTTAAAGCCTATCGCACATGAAATGCATAATAGAACATAAACATAACATAAGACCGCTGGACCAATGAGCATCCAGCATTAAGTCACCATATTGATTTACATAAGATGTTCATTGGTCGGACGGTCTTATATTATGTTTATGCTCTAATATGCATTTCATGTGCGATAGGCTTTAGCCCGGATCCTCATACGGGCAACAGTTCTTCGACACAGAGCTCTGATTGGTGAAAAGCCGGTTGTGGGGGTAAAATTTACCCCCATCAACCGTTTTTCACCAATCAGCGTTCGGTGTCAAAGCGCTGTTGCCCGTATGAGGATCCGGGCTCAAGGCCCGTCTACAATACACGGAGTAAGAAGTAAGAGTAAGAAATTGACCAATCACAGTCGAAGGTGAGAAGAATAATCGACTGTGATTGGTCAATTTCTTACTCTTACTTCTTACTCCGTGCATTGTAGACGGGCCTTCAGAGTCTGTGCTCCGGCCATATTTCCTAAACTTGGAGTTCGGGCCTCGGGGCTCGGGGCCACTCAGGGCAGTGTAGGCAACCGAATTCAGTATTTCATGTAAATCACACGTAATCGTCATTCATTAGTGTGTCGCGTCAAGCGTAGCGGGTCTGAGTCTGAGCAGAGATAACTAGCGTACGTTAATCAACGATTAAACCGGAGCCGTTTCACGGAAGCTGTAGAATTGCGTATCGTTCATCCCGCGCGCGATAATCGATATCGAGGGCGTATCAGTAATACGCGATCGTAAGGTCTTATTCAAGGTACAGTATTCAAGTTACCGTCTACGCACGTCTACGGCGCGTGGCTTCTGGCTTGTTCTTGTAAACATGGTGTTTGGACTCGTCGGGATAATTGTTTTTTTCCACGGGCCCAATTAAGCTCCGCGCGAGCGATCTTGCGGGTAAGAATCGCGCAGCCGCTTTCTGAGAAGACCGGCGTGTATCATGTGATTCTTACTGGAATACAAGTATGGACACATTTCCGTTTCACGGTGAGTTTGTTATATTCTGCCATTTGGACCGCTCATTGAGTTTCGTGTTTTCGGAATATCGCTCAAATCGGTGGGATGGCCTGGAGGGATTAGAGGGGGGAGGGGAGGGCCGATATTGACCACTATGCTATTTGTTCTTTTTGTATTAGTCAAGTTTGCTCGCGTGCTATCATAAGGTTTGTTTTTTATTTTTGCACTGGACTGCACTGAAACTATCACTTTCGTCAGATATCAAATATATACCTGTTCCAAAAGTATATACTAGTTCAGCTATAAAATAACAGACCTTTGAACCGCTTACTTTTTATATATGAATTAAACCGTTTTTATCGTTAGTTAAATAAATTGTACATTAGATTTTAGCCTCATCCACTTGCAACTTACATTTTGGTTATAAGATTAATCGTGTTACTATATGGATTATCACGGGTATTTGTACAAGATTATACTTATTAGGTTATGGCTAATTATTCAATACATGAGATTTATATTATGATATTTTCTTGTAAAACAGGAAACCGTATGATTTAGTAATAAAAGTTTGGGGTATCTTGGTACTTTACCATGGAGCAATCAGACTCGTCTGTCCTGACAGTTCACGAGATTCAAACGGATGACTCGCAAGTAGCTCAGACCACCGAACGAGATATAAAAGTCACTGCAGAAAGTGCTCAAGATTTACCAAAGGTGTGCAAGCTACCGTCAGAGTCTACATTGACAGTAGACAATACCGATTTTGGTACAGTAGTTAAGTCAGAAGATTACATAGAAACAAGCCACAGTGAGGTATCTAAAGAAGTAGCTAAAGAAATTGATGACACCAATAATCAAGTGGAATCTGAATCAACGGAGCCAAACACAGAGATATATAAATCAGAACAAGAAGAGATCCAAATCTATGATTTAAAAGATAAGGTAAATTCGAATCATGAATTACAACACTTGTCCACCGAGGAAGACCAAAGCCTAAATGTGATAACTGAATCTAAAATAATAAAAGAAGATGAAGGAGCAACAGAGGCAACAGAGAAAACAGAGGCAAAGGAGACAACAGAGACAAAGGAGGCAATGGATAATCTAGAAAATGACTGTAATGTAATAGAGGACGTGAATCAATCCGATTCTAGAGATAAGCAGGATGTAGCACCAGATGAGTCTAGACTTAGTAAACATGGGGGCCAGAGTCATGACGTATGTGAGTCAGTTGAAGAAGCAATCAAGGAAATGCATGATAACGATAGTAATCAGAATAACTCTGCAACTAATGCTGAACTAGCTAAGTTAGTGCAAGAAGAAACAGAGGTAGTTGTGGTAGTAGAGACTATACCAGTTGCGACTGATGCAACAGCGGATAATTTTATCGTTACTTTAGAAGGGAAAGATGCTAATAAGGAATGCAACCAAGAAAATGTTACTTTGCAAGAAAAACAAATTGTGGAATCTGACCATGGGAACAATGAGATTGATCTAATTCATTACAGCCAAGAAAGTGATGATACCATAATAGAAGTAACAGAAGTCATAGATGCTCCTCTTGACGAACAATTTAAACAAAGTAACGTGGACTATAGAGACAGTAATAAATGTGATAAGAAATCTATAAAACTAATCGACGGGAAAATTGCAATAGACGAAAGTATAAATGATGAAAATATTAAAGTAAAAACAGCTGGTAGTAAAACTTTGATTAATTCTGGAAAAAAAGATAAAGAAGATATCGCTATTATTATAGATGAGAAAATCATAATTACAGAGGTTGAGTCAGCAGTTGAGTCAACAGATCTGCCACAAATTGAAAATACCCATAAAAATACTGTTAAGAAGATAACTGAGCATAAACAAGATGATACCTCTGTTGACAAAGTGTCAGCAATGGATTCATCGACGAAGAAAAGGAGCTTTATCCAAGATATATTTGACGATTGGGGTGTTGAGAATACTGACGAAGATACGCAATCAAGTTCAAAGGTGCAAGACTCTGTCGAGATCGAATTAAAAAGCCTAATGGATGAGGCAAAGACGGAGCAAACTGTTTCGAGTGAATCAGTTGTAACTTTTCAAGAAAAAGTCTCTTCTGCAGATGAAGAATATGACGAGACACACAATATTGTAAGTACAATCGAGAAGAGTACAACGAAGCAGTCGACTGAAGAAACAGAAAATCAAAAGAAAAACAAAGCTATTAATAAGGATGCAATGTCATTGAATAAAGATGAAACGAATTCTCCTGTGCCACCTGTGAACAAATCTTCACGAAGTATGGATACGCATCCGGTTAACGCGTCGCCGCACGATACTACAGTTCCTAAAAGCCGCGCTCGGCATTTAACGAGTCAGATAGCGTCACCAGCAGAAGTGACGGAGGTGTTGAAGGAACGTTTTCGCGAAAAGCAGAAGAGCGTAGAGGCATCCCGCGGACCAGACATATTCTTTGTGAAAAAATTAACGCAAAGGCTGTCTAGTAAATTGGGAGGTAGCACAGTAAATCCAATACCAAAACTTATACCATTGCCACAGCAAATTGCTTCTTCAAATCCACCTCCCTCTTCTGTTGCTGCATCATCGGCATCGGAAAACTGTGATAAAAAGGAAGCGGAAAACACAACAACGGAAGCTAGCAAGGATAGTAATTCTGACAACAAAGAACTATTGGCCATCTTAGAGGGTGACATTGATCCTGACTGGTCTATTTTGAAGCCACCAGTTCTCACAGAAGAAAGCAAAACAGCGTCAAATACCGTGGAACACTCCGAACAAAGCAATCCACCAAAACTCGATCCGTTAGTTGAACGAGAATTGGCGCTGAAACAACTCCTTGAATTGCCCATATCACCGTCCAAGAAGATTCCACCGCGGAAAAAGAAAACGTTCCGAGCAGCGTCTGGTAAAGCATCTAAGGACGCGACGACTGTCGCGAAAGGTTCGCTTGCTGCACAGCGAAAGGAGGCTAATATAGATTTAGCGAGTGAAAATACGCAACCAAATGCAAAATCCGTTGGTATTGATCTGAATCCTTTACCTCACGAAAAGAATCAAGAGCAGATAAGCATACGAATGGAAGAGTCGAGATCAGGCAGAAAACGTAAACCTACCGAAAAAGCAAGGGAGCATGAAGAAAATACGATAAAACGGCAGAAAGTATATAGAGGTAAAGTTTCGATAAATAAGAAACAAATGGAAGAAAAGTCCGTCTCTAGTGATAGCTCGACGATTGAAAATCATGTTGCGACAAGTGATACGACGAACGTTGCTGTAAATAATGAAAAAATTGTCACGAAAGAAGTAACAGGTAAACAGTCCGAGAATAAAATAGATTCGGTTTCTAATAAAATTGAAGATTCTTCTTCAAAACGGCCGAAACTTGGTCTTGCTAAAAAAGGACCGATAGCTAAGAAGAAAATGGTAGTCAAGAAGTTGCTGCGCCAAAAAGTGCCAACTGATAAGAAATCTGTTCAGCTGAAAACTAAATTGACTCCGTCGCCGAAGAAGACACCTCCGAAAGCTGTCTCAAAATCGCTAAAGCGGACGCCCGAAGGTCCATCCGGTGACGTGAAACCTAAGAAGAAGAACATAAATGAGATAGATAGATTGTTGCAGGACGAAGGTGTTGTCAATTTACTGTACGATGTAGAGCAGCCGGATAGAAAACGCCTGGTTCCTATCACAAAGTCACGAGCGAAAGTAATGGATCTGCAGAAAGTGCAACGTGAACTTAAAATCAGAAAAAAATTGGTTCGCAATGCTGTGTTGCGATTACGTACGTCAACAACCGCAGATGTCACGAAAGTGTCACCGAGGTCGAAGAGAACGACGATTCATGCAGCTGATGTTCAAGATAAAAAGGTAGAGCAGGTTTCTTCACCAAAAGCTTCTGCATCACCCACGGAATTTATTCTTCCCGCAAAGATACGTAATGCGGCTGATGCGTCCATTATCGTGAGGAGACACTCGTCTAGTTCATTTTCGAGTGCATCTGGAAGTCCCAGAGTTAGCGTTGATGCACCTGAAAAATTTACAGAAGCTGTCAAGTCGGAAGACGGAACAGTTCATTCGTTGAGATCTGCTAAAAAGAGACGAGATTCACAAGATGAGAAAATTAATAATATGAAGAAAAAGAAGAAAACTATACAAAAGTCCGATACCGATGTTACTGTTACTAATACCAGTACCATCTCTACTATAACTACTTCAGTTGCCAGCAATACTATTGCTAATAATACGGAAGAAAAAGTTAATGTCGTGCGTCCTGGTAAGAAATCGGAAATCAAGAAAATGGACAAGATTGGAAAGCAACAGGAAAACATTCCCGCAGTTGAAGACAATGTTTCGAGTAAAGTTACAACCCGATCGTCGAATGGTGCAGTACCAGGGAAGGTAACAGCGAAGAGCAAAAAACTTATGAGAAGCAAAGTGACTTTTGCTAGGGCAAATGAGCTCGATAATGCTGAGGATTCTTTGAAAAATGAGGATGAATTATCTGCTTGTCTTGCTGAAGCAGCTACTGCTCTTTCAGTCGTCAATGCCAGAAATGGTGCGACTACGCGAAAGAGCAAAGGTAAAGGTAAACACTTCTATCTCAATAATATTTTTTTTTTGTAAAACTAAAAATATAATAATTTATTTACTTTTCCATATGAAAAAACGTTAAAATGTTAAAAGTAATTTAAAAGCAATTTGATACGAACTATATGCTAAATATCATACAATATTTCAGTAAATACAAATACCATGAAAACATTGGATATAGATAGTAACAAAATGAAAACGGAAATGCAAAGTCAATTCAGTAATAAGGAAATAAATGTGCGACGCCATGGTAATCTCGTACAATTAATACTTACGCCATCCTCTTCAACAAAAATAAGAAATGCTCTTTCATTGCAAGTAAGTAGTTTTACACTTAAGACAATCTCCAAACTCCGTTATAAACTGTTAAACATAATTCCTTTAATGGTATTAAGGTAATGCAAGAATTCAAAGAGGCTCTGTCGATATTAAAAAGAGATGACGAATGTAGAGTAGTACTCTTAACATCTACGGGTACAAGCTTTTGTGAAGGTCTTGATCTTTCAACATTATTGCATTCAAATAAGGATGAACGACGATCCGTCGCTCAAGAGTTGGCACATGCTGTCAAGTATGTATTTAAACTTGTGTAAACACAATTTAATATAATACTTTATATAGTTGATGCAATACTTTATATATATGGTAAATGGGGTGAATATGCCACACTTAAACGAAATTAGATTTTTGAGTAATTATTCAATTTAAAATAATTTTACATACTGATCTTCTTCTTCCATCCTTTATCTATCATTTGTGTATAATTAGAATCGAATATATTCATTTTTTGTTATTAAAAATAAAGAAATACGAAAGTGCTGAAAATTGGGTAATATACCACCATGCTGGTAATATGCCACATACAAAAAATACAATATATTCAATGTATAATGTGTATAATATGTATATATATTTGTATATGTATGTATATATATATATATACAAATATGTACCTATATATTAGAGAAAATGCCTACTGGCATTTAACCCCAACAAAAGTAGTGACACATTGCCCCAAGACGTCATTTCATCTTATGATGAGCCTGTACAGTACGACTGTTAAGAAAATGAATCAACGATGTACTGAATATTTTCATTTTAACCTACTCTAATAGATTAACAAGCTAATCGAGCTAAATATTGTGTAATGTTTAAATAATAACTTACATAAAGCACTATAAAAGTTATAAGAAGCACATTTTCATATACCATGCCGTCATATTTACCTCATAAAAACAATACTGTTGCCAGGAAATTGTTGCTATTTATGCAATATGTTAAGCACACAATTATACACAATGTTGTAGCACTGACGCAAGCGCTGCTAATCAGTATCATTGTAAAACAAAACGTGTGGCATATTCCCCACACTGGCGTATTACCCGCACTTACTCTAGTTTATTTTATTGAATTTTTTTTCTTTTTAGGGATTTTATAAAAAGCTTAGCTACTTTCAATAAACCTATAGTGGCTGGCGTACAAGGTGCAGCAATTGGACTTGGAGTGACAATGTTGCCTCTTTTTGACCTTGTAATCGCTAGCGATAAGGCAACGTTCTGTACGCCTTACGGGAAATTAGGACAAATTGCCGAAGGTGCTGCAGTCTTTACTTTATCACACATACTAGGCAGTGCAATTGTAAGTCGTAAGCAACTTTTTACAGCATTTATAACATAACGTGAAAATAATAGAAAAACAACATCTATACATTTCGATAGACGAGTGAACTTCTTTTGGGTGGAAGAACTCTAACAGCAAGTGAAGCATTAAGAGCCGGTCTCGTTACCCGAGTTTTATGGCCTGATCGGTTTCAAGTCGAATTATTACCATCGTTAAGGGCTATGAGTGATCAATCATCACAGGTAAGTTACATATGTATAACAATGTTTCTTGATTTTAATTTTATTAATGCTTTTGCAATATATTTTACGAGATATATATTGTATTTTACGTACATATATAATATCGCTAAACTTTTGAGTTTTTTTACATTCATTAAATTATAGTAGTTTTATATATTTAATAACGGTAACAATAAGCCATATAAGCAGGTCCAGAATAGAGCAGTTCCTGTACATTTACTTGTGTCTTATTTTTGAAAACGCATAAATGTTTTTCTGGACATGTACATCTATAATATGTTGAATATAAATCAGATCGTATGTAGCCGCAAAACTCCAAAGTCTCGCACATTCTTTTCTGCATTAAAAAGTTCGAATTCAGTAAATAACATGTTGATAAATGAAAGAATATTAAATACTACTATCAGAATAAAATAAAATTATAAATCTTGTCTATTCCTGCATGGTTCAAATGTTTTTCTTTTCAGAGAGTACAAGAGAGAATTAATGGTTTTATATATTATAAATTATACAACAAAAAGTGTGTATAAATTATGCAGATTTATGAACATGGAAAATACTTGTAATTAACTCGTAAAATGCAGAAACGATTTTCTCTCTGTGCATTATATTACACATATAAAATGCATACCTTGACACATCTGAATATTTGAACAACACCATGCTCTTTGTATGTGTATTTTTGCAACTTCCAGTAATGTGTTTGCGGACATACGCAATTTATTGTCACATTGTACGGTATTATATAATTATTATTTGTATCACCTTCCCCATGTACTATCACTGCCTCTTGTTTATGCGCGCATGTCTCCAGTTTCGTGAATTGTGTACAGAACTGTATCAGGAAACGTAACTGTCAGAAATGTTTTAAAAAAGATATTTTTTTAATTACTTAATTTTCTCGATACCTTCAGAATGGATTTATTATTGAGGAACATGGTTGAGTTATTAAAAGTTTTTGTCCATTGCCACGGACATTCGCTCCCATTGGGACAGTGGCAAAGCCTTTCCGTCAATCTAGACATCCAAAATCGGTCATGAATTACATTGCATACCTCGTAAGGTTCACAGTTGTGTAAATCGCTTTCTCCTTCAACCTGTTTTGATTCAAGAAATTTGTCGTTTATGCCGTTATTCATTTACAAGAACTATATTTATATAGTATATTTTTGTATACAAACTCCTTTCATATACTTGAACGTAATATTATTAGCCTTACTGCTAATTGTCGTGTATACACTGACACTCGCGCTTATCAGAGAAACGAAGAAACAAGTTTTGATAAACATATTTACAATCGTGTGCATACTTGACTGCGCTAGATCCGATTGTCACAAGCAAGATTATATTAACGCAAATGGCAGCAATAATGCTAGTAATATTCTTGATTCTACGTGTGCACCCACATGACTCGTAATTACGAAATATTTTAATATTCATGGCATTGTCTTCGCTTCATTTGTAAGATACAGAAATATGAGCATACGATAAATCAAAGTGTTGATAATAAAAACTATGTTTTCTACAATATTGCACATATTTGAATAAATTTGATATAAGCACAGATTTAACAAAGAAAATAAAAGAAAGTATTTGTATAGGATATTGTAAAATGAGAGAATCGTTTCTGCATATACATACAATTATAATTTTTTAAGTTACTAATTATTTTTTAAAATAAAACTTTTTTAGTCCATGGAAGCAACAAAGGCTCTGCTACGTCACAGTCTGCGGAAAAAATTAGATGCTGCACTTGAATCAGAAACATACTTATTAATTCAACATTGGTGTTCCATAGAATGCCAGACTGCTATAAAGGCTTACATTGATGGAAAAATTGAATAAACGACAGTCTTATACATGGTAAAATATTACAATTTATATACATATATATACACACACATTGTAATTTATTATAATGAATTACTTATTGTGAAAATATTAATTTCAGTGTACTACTGTTTAATGTGGTTTTGCAATCCGTGTTAAAAGTCAGAAGTGACAAGTTCGTGAATATTGATGGAGATAATAACACAAAAATCGACATATAAAATCGATGTCATATAAACAATTTTTGATGCGACATTCTACGTCAATGCACTGTATAAGATATAATTTAGATATAAGATATAAATATTGAGAATCACTCAAAAAGATGGACTATTTTATTATTAGATCTTTTAGATATAAATTTATTATTCATAAATATATATGTATATATATTTACATATATATGTATATGTATGGTGTGTGTATGTGATATATATGCATATATTCTTCTGCATTATATTATTGTTAGATTAAAATAAAGGTACATTCATTGTAAGAATCAAATTAAATTTCTGATATATTGTTTTATCGAATTCATTGGCTTGTATGAATTTATGTGTATTTGCGAAGACTTGTGCGACTGTTTAAAAAGAAGTTCGAAAATCGCACATAAACAAACTTCACAATTCAAACAGCCAATGGATCTATTTTCTTCCTTGTAGAACAATATTTGTGCATGAAATTTTCGCAAAATTGACAAGTATTTATTATTTATTCGAAAGAAATGGCAGCACCGGAAATGCCATGTACTTATGAGTTTTCCAAAGGCTATGGCACCGGTGTGGCAGAAGCGCTTGGAAACTGGGGCTTCTCTAACAGAACATGTAGCGCCGGCCAAGAGTTACAACGTTTAAAGTGTCTCTTTGCAAAAATGGATTCTTTGTGAGGAAAACATGCATTTTATTCAATGACAAAGGATTAAATTGATAAATTGCTGGTCTTAAGGAAAAATTCGACTAGAACCGTAAAGAAATAAAAGAAACGCCTTGATTAATTTCAGACGCAGCGACAAACCGGTGATGTGTGTTAAATACGATCGCAGATACGATCCTGAAGCATGGTATGTTAAGCCTAGTCCTGATGAATGTAAACCAGCGTGGACATTTCCTATAAAGAGGCCTCTGATTACTTACTGTTCGACCGCTACAATTATGAAAGTTTCCAATATGCGTGAGATCAGACCGGACTTTATGTTTGTTATTCCTGGCCGCAGCTATGTTCAACAGGGTGTATGTATATATTCTTTTAATGAGTTTAATCATTTAAAGCGAGCTAGCAGAATTTTTATTATAGATCGATATATTATCATATAAATTTTGGATATATATTGTACCTTATACTAGATACTCCATACAATTATATAATTTATTTTTAGACGACTAAATGGTATCGTCGAGGTTCAAACTGTTGTTGTCAACCTAGCTGTCTAGCCCCACAATGTCCTGTACGATACTCTTGTGAAAGCTAATCTTTAAAATTTTTATATAATTGTAATCGTACTTAATGACAATGATAACGTCGAACTGAATTTATTTCTGACTTTTTTTCTAATAAAATGTAATATTTGCACAATATATACATATATATATATTAAATTCTGAAATATGTTAGTAATTAAAAAAAAAATCGCGGTGGAGGAATCAAGGTATAAGGACACAAGTGACGATGCAATTGAGTTAACAAAAATTATATCTGAGAGCAATGAGGTCGTTTAATTTATTTTTTTTGTTTTACTTTAACAAACACAGTGTTCCGAGCTTTTGCGCGTTGCGTGAGAACAATTACATTATCGAATGGTGAGGCAAGTGATTTAACTGACCGTCACTGCAAGATTTTCACTCTTTGAGCTGATATATATATATTGGTGAATGGAGTATCTTTAGATACTAGCTAGCGTTACAACAATGTACACTAATTCGAATTCCTTAAATAGAAATCGATCTACACAAGTAGCATTTTGTAAGATCCTACATAAGGAGCTCTGTGCTGACTTTGCGATGACTCTGCATAAAAGCTTTCCCTCGGGATTCTTATGTACAAGAAAAAATATACAAAAAACTGAATTGATATGAGTCATGGTACAATATAAATATGAAAACTGTCTGAAAACGACGTACGATTTACGCGAGTCAATAATATATGTTATACGAGTTATTAAAAATATATACTTATGATATCTTAAGCAAGTAATATACATATCGTAATGTATAAATTAAGACTAGATAGAATATCGGAGACCTTATCTACTTCTACAGCCAATATAATAATCGAGTGTGACTGAAGTACAACTTATAAACTAGTTACGCAATAACATGCGGCACAATAACGGCTGAAAGCGTACTGGCAAGAAGAAGAGAGCACATGGTATTTTGTTGACATTTCATTTTTTTCCACATATTTTGCCTTAAGTCGGGCATAACACTGAAATCGGAGAAGCAATTTTGTAAGTACTTTTCAAAAATACTTATCATGATTTATAACACGTTCGAGTTGAAAAATTGTTAATATTTGCAATAGGATTTAGTAAAATTGAATTGAAAATCTAATTACCTTTGAGTATATAATCTGTTAGTAAAGTGGGTACTGTCGGGCTATCCTCGCTAATGGCCTTTAATACTGCAAATGAACATATACATTGATATGTGTAGTTAGATACAAAATTATAATTAAATACTTACTTTTGATAAGTACTTGCAAGGCTTGATTATCTGGCGGACCACTGTCTGTATGATATGGAATAACGGTCGTCAGGTACTGTAATAAAAATGAAAATTTCCATTTTCTCTAAATTGTACAATTAAATTACTGAAAACTGACTTTTTAAATTAAAGATTTAATTTTCTGTAAAAGAGTATTCGTAATTTAACGCTTAATAGATGAATGCGTAAAATGTTTACTATGTAAGTGCAATTCTATACAGTGGTATACCTTCGGCTCCTGCAAAGACCTATGTTGTGGTAATGGACTAGTACCATTCTGCATTTGATTTCTTTTCTTTGTAACATGATGCTGCCTACGTCGATTTTGCACAGCCAACAGTAAAGAGATAAACTGGTTTTTGAGTTCCTTTTCATATTCTAATTCGTCTCGAAGTGCAAGCTCGGCGATCAGTGTTTCGCTCAAAGCCGCAACCAAGGATTCCATTTCTCCAAAAAGTTCAGTCAGTTGACTGGAGGAAAGTTGCTTTAATTCTAAAAATACATTCAACGTTTTATGTTTTTATTTTAGAAATTAATTGATTTTTATATCATTATATTTAACATGAATACTTTTATGTCATATAATTACTATTTCGAAACATACTTTTTTCATGAAGTGGTGATCCAAGTACTTCTCTACTTCTTTCCAAAGCCTCATCGCTGTCTAATAAAGAACCCTCTGAATCCGGCGATCTTTCCATTGACGGACTTTCCTACGGTGGCGACAAGATACAAAATCATTAATCACTCGTTTAGTCATTATTACATCGGCAAGAATACTTGATTGCGCCAAGGTTATACCTGCATTATGTCATCTATCTCGCGAAGAACTTCCTCTGCAGTCTTCAGCGGCTCTTCCGGACTGTGAGTATCGGTACTGCTGGATAAGATTAAAGCATGCATGTCCAAATCTGTGGCAACTGCCTCGTCTTCGCTACTTAAATCTTCCAGTTCGGGTCTACAGAAAACAAAAAAACGGAAGTATTGAAACGAAAGTAAGAATTTACGAACGTGAGAGGCGAAATCAGAAAATCTGTTTTTAAAAATGTGTAATCGCTACAAGGTAAACTTTTCACAAATAATTATACTTGTGACAAATAATCAAATGTGCAAAAAACAAACGTATCTACCTTTCAGTCGAAGTAGGTGCTTCGTTCAAATTCAAAGCGGGCATATGCATTTTCCGCGCGTAGGATTTGCTCCAATCGATGGGTAATATATTCCCGAAAGTTCCGGTGATCGTCCACCACATCCTGTAAAAAATACAATGTTTAACATATACGGTTATTAACACGCAAGGAATCTCTTGGCGTTTTCTAAGGGCAATTGTTTGCTTTATCTTAGTAATCGCTTATATTAAAGGTTTATATCATTTAATATACGTAAATAGATGTGGAATCTCTTCACAGATGACTCATATCCTCTAATTCACAGTCTCTAGTCGAGGAAATTAATGTACTTTAAATGTACTTATGTGTCATCGACTTTTATCGCTCATCTGCTGAATGTTTCATTTAGAATTACTGCATCTTCTTCTGTTTTATTTTAATTTTTATTTGAAAAATTCTGAAGCATGTAGTTGATTTTTTTTGTAATAAGTCGATACAATTTTCTTGAATGTATAAGAGGGAATTGTCTTATAGCTTTAACTTCAAAATTACATAAATAATCGAAAATACATAATGGTGTTAACTATTTTATTAATACCAAGATAACGAGATTATTTCAGAACACTTTTTAAAATTTTTATTTTATTTTATTTTTCCTCCTTTCACAATTTTTTTATTCTGATAGATAAATATTTTTTGCCAAGCGTTTTTGTGTAAATTGAATCGAAAAGTTTTCTACCATTTTGCAATTTTCGTAATAGTTAACAAGATATTAATTGAGGGGATGGGCGGAATAAAAGCCTAATTATAAAATCTTGATATTAATAAAAATTAAAATAACCTGCTACTCTTTTATTATACACAAATGAGTATAGTATCGAATGAATTTATGTAATGTCTTTAAGAAGTTACATGTTACAATACTTTTTTATTACGATAAATATTACATGAAAAAGCTAATTGCCGGAAAAAGGACCTAAGTAGAATTATGCCTTTATTCCGCTTATCCCCTCAATTACTAAAAATCGCTGAATATCAGTTTTCAATAATTTTTTACTCAAATACTATTAAAAATTGCTTATTTTCTTCTTATAAAATTCTAAAAATTTTTTCAGAATCTTTAAATACCGCATTTTCTCACGTTGGTAAAAATAGTTGCCAATAAGAAAATGCAATACTAAAAAGCTGATAAAAAGTTCTGAAAAAATTCTTAAAGCTCTATGAGAAGAAAATAAACAATTTTTATATCTTGCTGTTTTTTTGTAAAATTGATAGTATTTGAGTAAAAAATTATTGAAGACCAAATATTCGACAATTTTTAGTAATTAATATCTCATTAACTATTGCGAAAATTGCAAAATGATAGAGGATTTTTCGACTTACTTTAGTCTCCTCTATCTACATAAAAGCGCTTAGCAAAAAATTGCGGGACACCCTGTATATAAACTGTATTTTCTAATTTCTCTCTTTTTCTCTTTTTGCATATATACAATGGATAAAGAAAATGTTTGCTCATA